TAGGTATTTACTCATATTTATATTTAATTTAAAAATTGACCGGTACAAGAGGCTAAGGCGTATGCTTTGGGCTACTCTAATAATAGACCTTAGCAGGGAACAAGTACATGTATATGTATATGTTAGGTATTTACTCGTATTTATATTTAATTTAAAAATTGACCAATACAAGAGACTAAGATGTATACTCTGGGCTACTCTAATAATAGACCTTAGCAGGGAACAAGTACGTGTATATGTATATGTTAGGTATTTACTCATATTTATATTTAATTTAAAAATTGACCGATACAAGAGACTAAGACGTATACTCTGGGCTACTCTAATAATAGACCTTAGCAAGGAACAAGTACATGTGTATGTACATGTTAGGTATTTATTTGTATTTATATTTAATTTAAAATTTGACCGATACAAGAGGCTAAGACGTATACTCTAGGCTACTTTAATAATAGACCCTAGTAGGGGAGCAATTACGTGTATATGTATATGCTAGATATTTACTTGTATTTATATTTAATTTAAAAAGTGATTGGTACAATATTTTGATACTTGTTACTTGGACATTAAAAATCCATACTTATTACACTCAACTTTCTCGTGCACATTATACTTACAAGCATACTTAATACCCATTAAATACCATAACATTTAATATAAATTAAAAGATTAATTAAACTTATTAAACACATACATATACACATAAGAAAATATATGAGTACTTATAACACAAATATATAAGTAGAATAATAAATACAAGTTTATATATATAATAAAATACGTAAGTTCATATATTTGCACATTTATAAATTTATTCACCTTACACAAATCAGTAGAATCTTTCTTTATTAGAATTTCCTTACATGAAAAAAAGGTAGAAGCGTTCTAATTTCATGATATTATAATATTTTATTTTAAAATTATGCAAATAACTAGAACATGTGAAATGCCGATATTGGTCCCTCGGCTTTAGAATTTTATATAATTTTGTCTTTTAAATTTTTCATACACTTTTTTGCTCCTTTAATTGTAAAAAAATATATTTTTTTCAATCATTCCATCAATTAATTCGTTAAGTTTATATATATATATATATTTAGTTATTAAACTTTTAAGTTGAGAGACGAAAAAATATACATTTATTATAAGTTGAGAAACAAAAAATGTGTATATTTAAACAAACTTAATAGATTAATTAATGAAAGGATTAAAAATACATTTTTTATAATTGATAGGACCACAAAAGTGTATAAAATTGAGAGACGAAAACTATGAAAAGTACTAAAGTTGAAAGACCAAAATTGAAGGATCAAAATTGACATTTAATCACTAAAATGTGATCATTATGTTATAAAATTCTAGTGCAGTTAAGCAACTTATCTTCATATCCAGTACTTAATCAAATATTTAATCTAATACTTAATAAGTACATATTTTTCATGCTCAATATTTAATTATCTTTTTTGAAATATAGGTAAAATACTTACTAGGTATCTATAAATATTAGATTTACCCATATCTAATGCTCGCCTTGTGTTACATACCGTATAAGAGATAAACCAGCACTTTACCACATTTAAAATGTTTGGATTGCTTTTAAACATTTTTAATACTTTTTTTAAATTTATTAAGGGTATTTATTATTTTTT